TTAATTATGCCATCTGGTAAGCCATAACACCAGACTTTCTGGAGCACGTTTCCTCGTAAACTTGCACGGTTTTCCCGGGGAAGGCACTCTACTGCTGTAACCATGGCTTTCTAGAGGTTTCCGATTTAAATAACCACCTTCTCCTCTCTCTAGTTCAGTCATTACCAGCCAGAGCTTCTGAACCCCCAGTGTCCCTATGCTTTTAACTGTTTTTTACATTTTGGCAAAAGTTTAGCAGTAACCATGGTTGTCGGAAAGGGCCTCTATTCCACTGGGGTTTGTTGAGACCCTTGCAGTTTCCTCTTCCTCTGGTGTTGCAATGGTGTGGGTTTGGTCATAAATAACTCCGCGCAGTTTTGCACAGTGAAGCCAGGTGTGGACAGCAGCTGTCTTCAGTATTGGGGTGTAACTAAGGAGTCTTTTGGAGCTGAATATCATCCATCTCTTTCTCCTATGAAAATTTGATTGCAAGGACATAAAATGAAGATCTTTATGCTCTTTGTAATCAAATGCAGGGCTTACTCCAGGTTCAGAAATCTCTTCCTCATGTTTGTTAAGGATGAAGTTATTGGGAGCCTGTAGCTTTTCTTTAATTGCTTGAGATATGTACCATTACCCTACCTTCACAAACCCTGTTCCTGAAATAAAAATTATTTGGGGAGCTTCATCTATTACAGATTAATGTCAAGGAAAAACTTTCCAGAAAATACTTGTGAAACCTGTTGTGTTCAATTTTTGTCCTAAGAGAATCAGAGCAGTATCTGACTTCTCAGCAAGTGTATTCTTTAGTTAATCTTGGTAGATAATGTTTCTTTTTATTTATTTTTATTTAAGAGATGATGATGACAATAGGGAATGAAGAGTAAGACTAGTTGACCTGTTGTCTCTACCTGCAGGAAGATCCCTTGTAGTCTCATGTAGACCCCCTTCATTCATTCAAAAGTTTAGTCTTTGTTCCAGAGAGAGTTGATTCCATCAGACAACTACATTTTTATTATTCTAGTATTTAGTCTACTTTGGTTCTCTTTTCTTAAAAAAAAAAAAGTGACCAATTAAAAAAAAAAAAATCAACTTTTTTCTTAACAATATTACCTTTCATAAGACTGTCCACAAGAAGTAGAATAGTATGTAATAATGTGCATAGACCTGAATAATTCAGTATTGGACCCTTTGCAAGACTGGGGGGATCTTATCAGTGTATGGAAGTATCTGACGGGAAGGTGCAAAGAAGAGGGAGCCAGGCTCTTTTCTGTGGCATCTCATGACAGGATAAGAGGCGATGGGCACAAATCAAAACACATGAAATTCAATCTGAACACAAGAAAACAATTTTATTGTGAGGGTGGTCAAACACTGGAACATGTTGTCCAGAAGCTGGCTGGACATGGTCTTGGGCAACCAGCTCTCGCTGGCCCTGCTTGAGCAGGGGGGTTGGACCATGTGACCTCCAGAGGTCCCTTCCAACCTCAACCATTCTGTGAAACCTCTCTCTAAGGAACATCTGCTCCATAGTATTTTCAGAGTTGGTATAGCAAGAGCAGCTGTTTCATGGAGTAACTCTGCCAAAAATGTGCAAAGTAATTTATGCTTCTCCTTTGCCTTTCAAATGGAAAGAGCAGTCACATGTTACTTTTTTAAAAGGAGACATTTGCCTAATTTTTGCAATAGCTTAAATGATTGCTGTTACTAGCCAAGGTTACTCAAATGTATTCCTAATATACTGAAAACTCAGTGTGAATCAGTGAGGTACAATTTCAAAATCATGTAGCCAACGGTATTGGTGCGTTGGAGGGCAGGCGGGTCCACTACAGGACCTCTTCCAGATATGTCAAGTACTGGTACAATTTTATAGCTTATAACTTTATTCATCCCACACTTTTCTTCTGGATTGTGATTTGAATTTGACACAGTTTTTAAAACTTCCATTCTTCTTCCTATCTATTTTCCTTTTCTCTTCCTGGTTTTTGGTGGGTTTTGGTTTGGAGTTTTTTGTTTGGTTGGTTGGGGTTTTTTTGCCTTAATCTGCTTTCAGTACAAATTGAAAGCACAATCTGGCTTTACAATCCATAGAGAACAAAATAAATACATTGAGTGGCTAACGTAAGTCTCTTCTCCTTTTGCACAGTTATTTTGTGTGTCAAAGGCTGCTATGTAACTGAAAGGTCAGGCGATCCCTTCTTTCAGCTGGCATGATCCCTCTTCAGTACCTTCTTTTCTAAGCATTCATGGGACCTTAAGCACTGTTGCTTAGATGACTGTGCTTGATCTTAGGAGTTGCTCCCTCCCATCATCTGGAGTTACAGGTGCATTCTTAGTGAAATGTATGGATAGATGTTGTCCATGGGTCCTTCCATGAAATTGCCCTTGCCTATCTAATCTGAGTTCTCTCTGATGCTGTAGGCAGTCTTTAAATAAAGATACTTGCACTGTGTAGGCTCCTGTTCTGAGCAGCTTTGGGAGCTGAGCCAGTTTCCTGATTTTGGCTATAGAAAAAAAAATCTAGTCCTTGCCTTTTCTTAGGAAGGCTATTAAAGGAATTTTTTGAGGCGGAGAAGGGGAAAGAAGGTAAATGTGCTTTTAAACAAGTCCTGTTCGTACTAGGGAGGCCTGAAAACTTAGCCTTTAGAAATGGTGGAACATCCATAATTTTTCAGGAAGTTAAAATAACTAATTAAAGAAATTTCCAAGGTTTTGAAAATGGCTTTTATCCTGAATTGGGATGAAAATAATATTTGCAGGTGTGAAATCCCCTCACCTTTTAGAACAGGAAAGCTTTGAGAGCAGCGCCATCCTGGCAGGCTGGCAGCTGGGTGGCCGGTGCTCTGGGGGGAGCCAGCTGGAAGACCAGCAGGGAGAGGGCACATTTTCCTGTCAACCCTTTTTTGCTTTGAAAGTAGAGCAAAAATGTATGGAATCATGTAAACACCCTCTTTTCTGCCACCTCAGCAAACCTGGCGTTTTCAGATGTGCACAGAAAAATCTTCTGTCAGTTCTGAAGGTAACCCTGGGCTTTTAGAGTGGGTCGGATTTAAATCCTTGTTAGCAATGGGAAGGTAGGAGTTACGTGATCATTCGTTTTCTACAACTTGTCAGTTAAATCTGTTATCCAAGAAGCAACTGTCTGAACAAGTTGCAGGGTTTATTTCCTCTGCTGCTGTTTATTTAAAAGATTGCTTTGTGGGTAGGTATATTAGTTTGTGTTGTACAATTCATTTTAAATAATAAGAGATACCAAGTTCCTTTCATAATACCTGATGGTAGTTTCTCTGTTGCACAAATTAATTAAACAGCAATTAACTTGCTCTTCTATCCCTTTTCCTGACTCTTTAGAGTGCGTTTGTGTAATTTCCACCCCTCTAACAGAATGAAAATGTTCACGGATACTGGAATATGTAACGAAATATTTCTTTATCAAGCAGTAAGGTAGAGTGCTAACGTCAGGTAGTAGATCATTTGATTCCTGATAGTGATAGTGCAGTCTCATGAGATGAGGTGATAGCATTATGCTAATCTGTGTGGTGAGAGATTTGTCATGGGGCGAGAGTAGCATGACTACAGGGTTCCTATAGGAAGATGAACCGGAGCTCAGCAGAGAGGAGTGACTCCTCTGCCTTCTGCCCTCTTCACTTCTCTCTGCAGAACAGAACAATACCCAGCAACCGGGTGCAAGCAGAAAACAACGGGATTCCTTGAATGTGCTTTGCAGTTTTCATATCTAGGTAGAAGGCAATGGCTCTCTTATGCTTAGTGCTAACTGAATAGAAAATACTAATGCTGTATTGTCCAGCTTATTCCCTGAAGGCATTTCTGGAATCCTTTCAAAATCTATGTACTCCTACAAAGAGATGTGTGATCGCGTGTTGTTTCTCATACAACTACTAATTTGCATGTATAAATAACATTGTGCAGATTCTGGGAATGAGAAATGTAAATTCATAAAAGTAAACCGGGGTGGTATGCATTTTAGATGCTTCCAGGTTAGGTTTAAACTAAGTTTATCTTCCATGTGGAAATATTGGGGTGGGGAACCACCACCAAAACCCACACAGTTTGGTGGGGTGGGAGGGGGCAGGGAACTTGTCTGGCTCCCCTCAGCAGTAACTGGCTGATCTTTTAAGCTCGTCAGAGGGCTGCTGTTCATGACTTGTAAAATGCAGTCTGTGCTACTGGTCTGATCCTTAATCAGCCATATGCAGTGAGTTGCAATCCCTGAATGTGTTCAGCAGTACTGTTTTATAACAGTCTAATTAGAGCAAACTCTCTACCATTGAAATATCACTAAGTTTGAGAAAGATGCTTGAATTTTGTGAAAAACTGTAGAAGACAATTAAATTTTTTACACTGGGCTTGGAGCACGAGCTGAATTGCCAGCAAGAGACTGCTGAAGTTGGAGCAAGGGCCACAAAGATGATTAAGGGACTGGAGCATCTGTCATATGAGGAGAGGTTGCAAGAGCTGGGACTGTTCAGCCTGGAGCAAAGAAGGCTCAGGGTATCTCATCAATGTGTATAAATACCTGGTGGGAGGGAATGAAGAAGCAGCAGCCAGGCCCTTCTCAGTGGTGCCCACTGACCGGACAAGAGGCAGCGGTGCAAAGTAAAACACGTGAAAGTTCATTTGAATGCAAGAAAACACTTTTTTTTACTGTGAGAGTGGTCAAAGACTGGAGCAGGCTGCCCAGACAGGTTGTGAAGTCTCCTTCTGTGGCGATGCTAAAAACCTAGCTGGACAGGGTCGTGGGCAACCTGCTCCAGGTGACCCTGCTTGAGTAGAGGGGTTGGATCAGAAGCTCCCAGGAGAAGAGGTCCCTTCCAACTGAAAAGGTTCTGCAAAAGTTTTGTTGTTTTTTTTTTTTCTCAACACTATATTAACTTACTAGTTACACAGATTGACTTCAGTTAAGTTGTCTCAATGTGTAATAGGTTATATCGCAATCTTCATTACCATGTGAATCTGAAGCACATCTAAACAATTTGCCTTTTGTTCTCTCTCCTTTCTAGGTTCTGGGAACGCCTACAAGGGAGCAAATTAGAGAAATGAATCCAAACTATACTGAATTCAAATTCCCTCAGATTAAGGCACATCCATGGACTAAGGTGAGTCTGTATGAACTGAATAATAGACATGTGGGCTGAAAGTAAAAAGTCAAGGTGTTCAGTTTGTTTAGTGTCTTGGTGGCCTTCAGTCTAAACTGGGTGCCTTTAACTAAGCTGGGGACCCAGTAATTTTTGATGCAGATAAGGAAAAGAAGGTATTGAAGCCGTGTACTGTAATATCTATTGTTCAGGGGGTTTTTGAGGTTGCCTACAGGTGTTTTGTTGGTCTTTTTTTTTTAACAATGGGGTGTGTGTTTATAGCAGATTGCAATATATCTAAATCCTGTCATGCTATAAATTGATGTGCGCAAAAGTCACCTACAACTGAGAAAGTGTTCCAGTGATACGTGTGACGCTTTTGTAATGCTGTTACATAATGTGACGAGGGCTGATAGTCACTTTCTTAACTGGTTCTCTCATAGATATTGTTATATTTGTACTCCTATAGGTGTGCTGTTTGAGGGGAGGTGTTTTTTCTTGGAGTTACTTCTTAAGACTACTTATTATCTAGCTTTCACAAGGAGAGACTATTGCAGTACATGCAGACAATATAACCTCCATGATCAAAGAGGAAACTGCTAGCACTGAAACAAATACATTGCCACACAATTCAGCTGTCTTCCACATGTCGAGGAATGATGGATATTTGACGTGGGACAGGGTAGCAGTTATTTAATTAGCCTCTTGGGTGTGAAATAAGTTAATACTGAGTCTTAAGCAATTGAAGCCTGGGTAGTTAATGTTTTATTTTTGCTGCTTGAGAAATGTCTGATAGAGTCGCAGTATATTCTCATCATATCTTAACGGCTCAGGTTTCTTTCTGCTAAGAAAGTAGTGTGTATGTGTGGAAAGATCACATTCTTAGTTGAGCACATGTCCAGGTCAGACTCTTTTGGACCAAATGCTCTGTGGTGGTAGAAACTCTGAAATGCTAGCTAGAGCTCATTGAGGGTGATAGCAGGCCATGGTACATGCCAGACCAGGTACTGCAAGTCACTATTTTTGTGATAGATTCTCCAACGAGTTGTGCACCACCTGAATTTTCCCTTTCCCCAGTAATCCCTGATTGCATTTTCATATCCAAGTTTATTTCTGTGGGGTGGTTAAGTGATTTATAATAGTACGAGAGGTCAGTAAATCCAGCGAGGCTTTTTAATACCTTATGTTAACATGGGGGAAAAAAAATTAGGGCAAATGAAGTCCCTGGGAGTTGGTCTCCTCAGTTTCAAATTGCATCATGGTAGAAGTTGCAAGAATAAGTCCAAAAGCCTTGTAGCATTGAATACTAGGCATCTGAACTCCTGCAGTGAAGGTGTTTGGATTTGGGGGGGATGCAATCTCCAATGCAATGGAGATTGTGCAGAGATGTACTGTAGGACACACAGATAAGCATCTGAGCTAGCTGTGCAACTGATCTTCTGCCTGAATATCTTAAGAATCATCTGTATGCACTTGATGGTCTGTTAGACCACAACAGAGATTGTTTGGCAAATGGAAGTTTCGAGAAAAAACTGAGACTTCCTTCTATTTATATGAATGTTTTTTGGTCGTTCTAAAGGATCACAAGTGAAATCAAGTCGATTATAAAGAATTGAGAGGAGCTTGCCAGAAGATCAAATCTGCATTCTCCATTAGGACACAATTAGTTTTGGAGAGCTGTGCTTGCAACATAGCTTCTCATTCTGGAGTCATTCTGCACACAGCTCTTCCTGACATTGGCTGCGTGTAGAACAGCATTTAAACCGGTTCATTACAATTGGGTTACATGGATACTTCATTTATGAGATCTGTACTTTTCTTATTATACAAATGCTAAATTAACAAGGTGGCTTATCCAGTGTGGTGTTGGTAATGATGCTCATCCTCTCAATGTATTACTTCTAAAGATCCTTTCCTTTCAACATTTTGAGCATGTTGAGCCGTGAAAGATTTAAGTGGTAGTATTATGTAGAATTGGTCTTCCTTACCCAGCTGTATTGGTATAACATCTGTTGGCACAGCAGTGGGCATGTGCATCCTCTTGGAGCTTCTGTATCTTAGAATTGAAAAGCGTGGGAGAAAAATCACTTCTGAACTCTGGCTGTCTAATGAGCAGAAAAGGAATGACTGAAGAAGTGAAAGTGCAAATGTTTTTTTGTTATAACTATGTATGTAACTAGAGTGCTACAGGTAGTTGCCAGCAGGACTTGAACTTTAAGTTTCTGTCTCAAAAGCACAAACCTTTGCTATCTAAGCTAAAGAATTACTGAAGATTACAGTAGTTAGAAGGTTGTTATTTCTGTGGACTAGTTATAACCAGAGGACTCAGCAGACAGAAGTTAAGGGGGTTTTTGTGTGGAAGAACTTCCAGGCAGCTAGTTTTCAGCATGTTTGAGAGAATTACTGAGAATACAGTCACTTCCTGCTATAAGCTCTTTGACATGAGGGCATTCTCCTTGTTGCTTTGTGGTGTTTAATACAACATGGGCATTTTTAAAAGTTGAGGGTTTTGTAGGTCCTACTTGGAGTTGATGTCGTGCAGTGGAGAGGCCCAGTGAAGGTGCATGGTTAGGTTCTGTCTGGATGTTTAACCTCTTCAGTGCAGTCTGGAACTGGTTGTATCCAGGTCAATAATCTATACAAAAGTAAGGTCTGTGGTTCGCTCTTGTTTTCAGGGAATCTTCTTGGTCTGCAAAAGTGTGTGGAGATAGCAATTAAGAATTTTCTTTGGAAGCTGTAGTGCCTATAGGTTGCATGTGAAATTCTGCAGTGCAGACTTCTGTTGGATGTACCTGGTTCTGGTCTGCTCTCTAGGTATTTTTGGCAGGCATAGATATGTTATTTTCCTACTCAGTATCGCTGTGGTGGTGTAATGTGCTACATTTGCTGTTACCTACTAGGTGAAGAAGAATGGTGGCTAGTGCTGTAGCAGAACGAAATAGGTTCTGGGTTTCTTAAAGACGAGTCCATGAAGGAATATTGCTTCTCAGATTTGTTCAGTTTCAGGCTTAAATTGGAATTTGGAACTTTTCCACAAGTTTTATGGGAATTTGAAGTCTACCTTTATAGATGTATCTTAGACTTTTCAGTAGAAATGGATTGGTATCATCCAAATACAGTATTGATATTCAATGTGATGTAGTAGTATGAAGAAAGAGATCTCAAATTAACAAGGGTCTGTCTTCATAGATTAGGAGAGAAGTCAAGCTAACACTCAAAAATATTTTTCTATGCTGCAGCAATAATGTGCATTTACAGTGCAAACTGTTCTCAGACTGGTTTTTCAATCTGTTGACAATTTGAGATTGAAGTACTTTTGTAACTTAAGAGCTGGAATCTCTCGTTATAAAATGTACAGAGGCCTCCCTCTCTTCTCTCCAATATAGTTCTGTGTTGCCCAAGCACGTGCGTGTTTTTATACCAGTTACGTGCATGATGCAGAATGATGATGGGAGTTCAGTGTGTCCCTGGCTAGCAAAAGAAAAGAGAATCTGAACTTTCCAGGAATCTTTCAAACAGTTCTTCCAAAACAGGACTTCTCTCTTCTTCCCCGCTGGCACCCCACCCCCACAACCCCAGCCCCAAAAGGAGGAATCTGGGACATTTTGGTTCTTTTGGGGGGGTCCTCTTCAGAATACCGGAGTGTTTAATTTAGTAACGTAGCTGTTCTTTTCATCCAGACCTCCCTTTATTTTCACTTAGTGTAGAACATTTTGTATTCACAGAGGTGCATCCTTGGTCTATCCTTGGTCTGTGAGTAAGTAGCATTAAGTTATAAGAGAAGCAAGGTTTTGCAGGGGTGGGAATATCTTTTGACTGACTGATACAGTCAGAGAAAAATGGGTAAGCTTTTAGACATGTAATCATGTCTTCAGGTTTATCTTGGGTCAGAAAACCTGTCCATTTTTTCCAACTGTATCAGCTCATCGAATAAAAGTTACTACCCTTTCTGGAGGCTTTGCTGCTGTTGTTTTTACTAGGTCAGAACTTCCCTTCTGTGTCTTTCAGCCACCTCAACTCCTCGAGCCTTCTTTCTTCTTGGAAGTGCAGTCTGATCTCTGCTACTAATCTTTATACTTGTTTCTCTTCTTCTGACTAAGCTTCGTCCATACTTTGTAGCTGTGTGACTGGAAAGCCAAGAAGAAAATCTGAGGTCAAGTGCAAGATTGTACATCACGGGGCTGTTGAAGTTCAGCTTTGGCGATTAGCTTTCTCTGAAGCTTTCGGCCCTTTTGGAGGGGGGCAGGGACAGTGGGGTGGCTGACAAAAGGTCTAAACACATGCTTCATAAGCTTGTGTTAGATAGGCGTTGCTTACCATGGCCCTATTACAGCTGGCCTTTATCCTAGAATTACTCAGATGCTACCTTCAGATCTCAAATCTTTTGGGTTATGAAAAACAAAGTGCTGTGATTATTTCCAGAAATATGAAAAATGTCCATCTGTGATGGCCTGCCTTTCCCCTTGCATCCAGCTAGTAAGGATCTCATTTGGGTAAGACTGTAGCAAATGTAATATAATTATGTAGTTTAGGCCTCTTCTGCATGGGGGAGATGACTCGTTAGGATTTTTTTTTTCCCCACCCGAAGATACTTCCACATGTTTGCTGGTAATGGCATTATAATGAACTGACTTATCTACTGAGCTGCAAGCATGCCCATGGTTCGTGATGGCAGAACACCACAACAGGTTATATCAGCAAAGGCTGTTTTCTTTAGTCAAATCATAACCTCTGCCTTGTCTCCATTGCATAGATGTGGAAGCAGTTTCCATTGCAGGCAGCTCTTTGAAATGGACAGTGCTGCATCTCTTCAGTGTGCTGTAGTTTAGTGGCCTTTGCTTCTCCTGTTCTGAAGATACCTGCAAGATTGTTCACACATGCAAGCATTTTTTAAATATACAGTTGGTGAAATAAGTTTGAGTGTAGTCAAAAGAATGGCTTCATTCACCATCCCCAAATCTATAGCTAGCTGGTGTCTCAGTCATAATTTCCGAGTCAGTGTTGAGATGGAAAAAGACAGG